AAAATGTGTTTTAGTAATTAAACGGGTTAAGCTTCCAGCACATGCAGCAGCTTACAGCTGGTGTCCTCTGAGCACGGCTCTGATTTTCTCTGCATTTCAAATACCTTAAACCTGGGAATTAAGCTGGTTTTAGGTTTATTTATTAAAATAAACACTATATGTAGCGCTAAAGTTAAAAAATGAAAATAAACTGCAAATTTCCAACCGAGATGAGCTCATTTAAATAAATCTAGAAGTTAAAAAGACAACAGATGAAGGGATTTCCATTCCCATCCTGCTCCGGATTCCCTTCGCTCTGATCTAAAACTGGAGTGGCGTCGACTGCAGCTGCACACCTGAACTCTGGAGTTCAGAAAAAAAAAAAAAAAAAGCCCTTCAACATCTTAAAAATGTAAATACACTTTTGAGCACGCACTGCACACATCAAAGCTGCTCTACGGTGAAGAGGCGCTAGTAATAGACAGACTGTGGCTCAGCCTGGAAATACATGAAAAAGCCTGACATGGTGCAAGCCGACGAGCGCGCTGCAGCCCCGGGGTCGCCCTCTGTGACCTCAGAGAGGCAGAGACGGCAGGACGCAGAGAAACAGATGAAAAGATGGAGATTATGAAGAGGAATGAATGCAAATAAAACACATTTAGCTGTTGGGGAAAAAAAGAGGAATGGAAGATAAGAAGGCGTCCTGAAATGTGCCCGACGGATGAAGAGATTTTTATTTTCTGCTCTCCTCATCCGTCTTTCCCTGCTGCAGTACGGGTCAGGATCCATTTTAGTCAGGCTCTAATCTTCGCAGAGCCCTCCTACATTTTGTGAGCGAGGAAGCCAGCACTCCTACATCCCTGGAGCAGAGAGGGATGCACGTGCTTTTTGGAGCGAGGGGATGAGCGCTTAAACTTGTTTTATTGTTGTTTTTTTTTTAGGCAGATGTGAAGCGGAAGAAAGAAAATCTCAGCAGGTCTGTCCTGATTTCACGTTAAAACGCGTCTGAATAGAAATCCCAGATTAAGAACAACCCATTTCATTAACGGACGTCTCAGTAATACCGATCAGTTTATAGGAAACGGCAACAACTTCTGCAGAAATTGAGGAACATTTGGAATATCAAAATCTCACTTTTGAACACTTTCCAGAAAATAAAAAGCAAAAATAAACTTGACTAGAAGTCTGATTACAAAACCTGCTGATGTTCCCCAGCCTCAGGCTCCTGCATGTCACTTCTAAACTCAAATGCCTTTTTTTCCCCTCCACTCATCATCAGAACTTCACTCCCCCTTCCCTCTTCATCCCGTTTTCAAGCTCATTAAGTTGGGATGCTTTATCAGAGGGCACACTCCCTCCTCCAAGGCCCGACACACACACATGTGCATGCACAAACACGCACGCCATATTCAAAGCTAGCTTGATAAACCCTATTGTTCATACATGCGCACACACATATAGGAGCCCCCGTTCATCCATTTTTCTCTCCAAACCCCTAACCCATCCCTAAGCCCCCCCCCAGCCCCCTCCGTCTCCTCCTAATCAACTCTTCCCATCCCTTCTCTCTCACCCTCCACTAAACCCTACACCCCTCACCCAGCTCTGGGGAGACACTTTCAGGCAGAGAGGGAGGGATGAAGAAGAAGGGGAAGAAGAGAGATCGGGGAGACGGAGAAAGAGAAGCACTCCTCCTCTCTGCTCTGCTGCCACAGCGGCTGGGCTACAGAAGCCTTTGATGTTCTGCAAATTTCAAATTTCATTACAGAGAACCCCCTTCTCCCCAGCGCCCCCCCCTCCTCCACTAACCCTCCCTCCCTCTTCGCTCTTGTGCTTAAACAAGCTTTTCTGCCTCACTCTCTTACCCCCCCTCACCCAAACCTCCCCCTCAACGCTGAAGTTAAGGAACTGAAAGCCCTGCAGAGGAGACTCCTCATATGGGTTAATTATTCATTGGGCTGCGCCTGTATGTGCCAGATGTATGTTTGTGTGTGTGTGTGTGTGTGTGTGTGTGTGTGTGTGTGTGTGTGTGTGTGTGTGTGTGTGTGTGTGTATACGACTATGACTCACGGCCCCGGCAGTGGGCTGGAATCTGGATTTTTGCGATGCCTGTCTTATCTCTGGTCATCATCCACTCCCTCTTGTCACTTCAGTGAACGAGGCTTCGTTTCTGCCGCGAAAGTCTTCCAGACCCCGAACGCAGCAGGAACGCCTTCATCTAGCTTCGTCCTAAGACGAGTGTTTGAGAGCAGCGCGCTGCCATCTTGGTTGGGGTTGTGTCAGCCGCTTTAGGAAGATGGGAGCCCCAGTGGCCCGTTGATGGGAGCGAGGTGACGTTAAAGTGCTTGACAGATCGGTTGTGTCAGCAGCGTTGGTGGGGAGAAGGAAGGAACGAGTCTGAATGTGTGTAGAAATGCGTTTTGAGAGTCTCTGCTGTAAACCTGCCTTGAAATCAATAAAACAAAAATAATACAACTGTGTTTTAATATGACCCTGCATGGTTTTATAAGCTTCTGATCCATGTTATTACTGTAGTTAGGCAGTAATATGGTGATTCTGTGCAACACATTATCTAAAAATAGCAGATAAAACAGAACTATATGTGTGTGTGGAAATATTTCCTTTACTCCGATACCCTTAAATAAATTCTGTATCAACAAATTGCCTTTAAAAGTAATCTAAAACAACCCACCTGAGTGTAAATCAGTTCTGTGAAGGCCTCAGATAGAACATTAGAGAGAAAGTATCAGGAATACAAAGGATCACAGCAGAGATATGCAGATGATCAAATGAGTGTTGGGTTTTAAATCAATATTTCAGGCTATGAACATCTCACAGAGCTCTGCTCAATCCATGATATGATGATGGAAGAAGACTTTTAATCAGAGAAGCCCTTAAAACTTTGGAGAGATACACAGCTCAGGTGGGAGAAACCGTTACCAGGACAACTACAAATCATTTCTTTCCAGAAGTGCAGCGAGAGGAAATCCACTGTTGAAGGGAAGCAATAAGAACTTGTTTGCAGTTTGTTAGAAGAACCTGAACACAACATAACTCATGATGAAGCACGGTGATGGGAGTGTCATGCTCTGGAGATGCTTTTTATTCAGCAGGGATGGAGAAGGTGACCTCAAAACTCTTTTCATCATCGCCCGATGTATGAGGCAGGATTGTCTGTTTTTTAGTTTTTTGAGACATTATTCTGCAAACACTGAAGTGTCAAAAATTGCAGCAACATTAATTATTATATAATTAATTAAGTGTAAAGTCGATTATAATAAATTGCTCTGCCTGCACAAAAAAGTGCTTTTTTGTTCATTCATGGCAATAGTAAAAAAATAAATATACATAAAAAACACACAAAAATATTTACTTTACACCTACAAATAAAATAAAAATAAATATCCAATTGCAGCAGTAGCGTCTTAAAAATGCATTTTGAATAGAAGTCAACAAAATTAGCCTATGCATAAAACTAAAATTATAAAAAAAAATATATAATTAAAAAAATCACAAAACCTCATACATTTTAAGACATAACTTGAAATATGAAATCTTTTTTTGGCTCTAGCATTATAACTGAGTTAGATACACAAACTAGTTCTATAGACAATCCCAGACTAGAATATTCCACATTGATTGCAGATTAAAAAAAAAAAGTTGAAATTCCTCAAACACTCATGTCTGAAAAATAGAAAGACTGATAAATATTCCTTATGATCTCATTTTGCCTTGTTCCAGTGAACTCAGTATCTCCACCTGCTGGATGTTTTGTGTACAGAATTTTAATTGGCTTTAATTGGCATTTCATGATTTAGCTGCTCAGTTCAAAGCATGAGAAGTAACTAAAACCCATGCATTGAGTTTTAGTTGAAAAGATAAAGATAGCTCCATCAGCTTTAATGAGGTTTATGTGTTTCAGGAAGTCAGTGTGGGACATGAGGTCAGCAGAAAGAGACAAAAATGTCTCTTCAGGTTTTGTGAACATTTTTAGTTTAGTTCAGGTTTTGATGTGAATGTACAAAGTCTGAGTTGGACATCTCTTAGTCTCATGATGCCTAACACACTGAGGGTGCCTGGTTTATAAACACAGAACGTGTGTGTGTGTGTGTGTGTGTGTTTCAGTTGACAGCCTGTCAGCATTGACGGCCCCCTGACATGGCTTCTTCCCTCTTTAGCATTTTCTGCTGTCCTTCCCCGCCTCCCTGTCCCTCTGGACCTAGCTGCCAAAGCTCCCCTAACCCCTGACCCCAGCTCAAGGCCAAGGTTGAGAGGTTGTTGCCACGACAACATAGCAGCCCTCTGATCCTTGCCTGCTGACCCAGAGCGCCCAACGTAACCAGGAAGATGGTAATTTGCTCTCCTTTGCCCCCCCGTCAGCTAGTCCATGAAAGCCATTTAGAGCTGAGAGGAGGAGAATGAGCCAAGAAGATGCAGGGATCAATTTTAAATGATGGATGGATGGATGGATGGACAGATGGACTGAAAGAACAAAAGGGGAACGCGTGTACTGCTGAAAGGAAATCAGTTGGGATGACCTATTGACCCTCCTCCCTTCTTTCAGCTTAAAAAGATGGAGATGAGTTTGGTCCAAACAGAACTTGTTTTTTCAAACTAAGAGGTCAAAACTTAAAGCACTGACTAGTTATTGTTATTCAAATAACAAAAAAAACGGTTAATGAGTGAAATAAAGACATCAGCTGCATGAACTTATTCCTATTTGTTGAAGTGTTTGTTTCCTTTTACCCTTTCATCAATTCAAACTCACATGGCGATGCCATTTTAACCAAATACTTTTATTTTGTACCTGTAACTAAAGCAGATTTCAACCTTATACTTAACTTACGTTTTAGTAAGTTAACCTTAGTTTTAGATATATGAATTTAAAACTATGTGCAAATACCATGATTTAGTGAGTCCCATACAAGATCACCATTGTGAGCCATCTAGCACTCATCCAGTTTTAGAAAAATCCTAACAGGACACACACACATGTCGGCTGGTGTGTGTTTGTGTGTGATCACCTTCTGGAAGGCCTCCTTGCTCTTCAGTGCAGCCTCCTGCTGAGCTGGGCTGGACGTGTAAATGACTGAACGATACTGAGTGCCGCTGTCATTGTGCTGCTTCATGCCTGCAGAAAACACAAAGCAGGATGAACACAGCAGCTGCACGAGGGAAGAACAACCAGAGGATGGAAACGTTCTGCATGAATACGTCACCACGCTGCATTTTCATGAAACAAGAAAAACTGCCAATACCAAGTCTGAGCTTCGTTTCATTTGCCACGCTCAGGCCTGATTAGTCCCGGACATGTTCAACCTAGAAATCCCTTCAGTAGAACTTGTCTGACAGCATAAAGTAGGCCACATTTTGTTTAAAAGCAACGTCTTTTGAAAATTACATTTTGTACGTACTCAGATTATCTTCTTCTAGTATAATTGTTTAGCCAACCAGAAACGAGCAAAAAGGAAAAACAGGACAATTCACAAGAATCTTTTTACAACACTGTAAAACATAAGATCTAGATCTGATAGATATTACTTACTTTTCTTCACTCTTTTGAATTTCTTAATTAATGCCAAATTGGTTTGGATAGTTATTGTTTCTTAATAAATCAGATTCTCATAAAAAACTGTGGTTTATTTAATTGACTGACTTTGTTTGTTGAAATCTTTAAGTATCACAAAAAGTAAAAGCAGATTTTAATTTGCAGAGGAGCAAATAGGACTGTAGGTAGATGCATTTTCATCTCCTATAATCTGAGAGGCGCTCTCAACATTTTCATCAGATTTACATCAGTGGGTTTGGAAGGAGGCCAGGCCCAAAGCACCTTGATTTAGAGGGCTAAACAGCTTCCATCACTTCTAAGGTTTTAAGGAGCTACAATCCTGAGCAGCTCTTGCATCAAGGAATGCATCAGTGTGCAACTCTCTGCTGGCTGCAGCGTTTGCTTTTTGTCTGATTCTTAAACTCATCCATAACTGGAAATGCTGCCGTTTCGGACTGGTTGTTATGAGCTGCAGTCAGTGGAGGCTGTAACAGAAACGCCTTGCAGCCAACTGAACGCACCATCAGCTCCCTGCAGCGTTCTCCTAAAGAGGAACTTTTCCCTTTCAGGACTTTTCGAATGTTTCTTATTGTGTTAGGTAATTTTCTGGCACTAATTCAAGGAGAAGCTCTAGCTGTAAACCCAACAGTGATTGCTAATCACCTTATAAAGTTGACGTGAGAACGAGTTGGCAAACGGCTTCTTGGTTGCACATCAAACATGCACCAGTGTTGGATTCCAAGCTGTGTTTGAGCTCATCCAACAGATCCGAGTTTCAACATAAAAAAAGAACCTCCTGAGGGAAATCATTGGCTTTTCAATCACTAAATGTTCAATAAATAGAAACTCAGAGTGTCCAGGTTGGGTGATGCTTTTCAGAGCGGCCATATGCCAGAGCTACAACTGAACTAGATGTAAGAATTGGCACAGAAACCAAAACTGTTTTTCTGTGTAAAACGATAATAATTAGCTGATGGTTTTTATCAAGTTTTGACATCTTTTACATTACAAAGTGTAAATCATTTTACAAATCGGCTAATAATATCAATTATAATAATACCATATCATAATACTGCCCACATCAATCTAAGAAATGCATATCAGTCCATATTAGAGTTGGGGTAGACAGACACACTTTAATAAACAAATATTTACATTACTTATGAAATGTGCTAATTTGGTCTGTGGTTATATTATGTAATTATATTTTTTGAGTTTTACACAGTCTACCTACAGTGACAGTGGCTCTGTGTGTAGAGTATTCATCCTGTGATCAGAAGGTTGTAGGTTCGATTCCAGCTTCATCAGTGTATAAAAGTGTGTGAATGGGTGAATGTGACTCCAGTGATCAAAATGACTGGAAAAATTCAGTCCATTTACCATTATAAAGTTATTCCCTCATCAGAAACAAACCTTTGATTCTTTCCTGCATGTCTGAGACATCCTGTAATCTCCCCTGAAATCCATTCAGAGTGCAGAAACGCAAGTTTTTCAAAGTGTTAAACTGCAATGTCAAATTTCTTTTACGTCTTTTTTGATGTATGAAACATTTTTATAACAACTGAAGTTACTGTAATGTACTATAAAATGGTACTATGTGCCTGTAAAACACAATGTTGCCCCAGAAGGACGGAGGTAGCAGTGATGTAAGACTGCTCTGTAGCTCAGGCTCGTCTCCCCAGAGACGAGTCGGCACTTCACACATTGGGACATGTGTCCAAAACTGCTCACATGGCATTGTTAGCGACAAGCAACAACTTCTCAAACACTGAGCTGTAAAGTTTGGATGAGAGGCGAAAGGTGAAAAGAAACGGGAGGAAAGTTCAGCTGCACACTTCTGTTTGTGCAGACCTGGATAAGTGAGAAATTAGAAATTCAACATTTGTGCAATTTTATACAACAGAGCTTACATTGACCTCAGTGCGATTTACTCTGAGCCTTAAAATCTGGCATGACATTTGGCAAGGCTGGGAATTACCCAGAGGATGCATTAAGCACTTTAACTAAGATGTCTGTTACTTCTGGCTGCATTAACCCAAGATGGCCGAAGCCGACTACCGAAACCGAGGCCTCAAAGCAGTGGTTGAGATTATGTTGCCTACATTTATCCGTTGTAATGAATGGATCAGTTGTGATCACAGTAAGTTAACGCTGCCGTAATACATCAGCAGTACTGCTGCGTCGCCTTTCTGTGTTCACCACGGGAGAGTAACAATCTCCACTGACACAGAAAACATCTCCTTGACACAGTAATCTGCATATCTTGTTGTCTTTAGATTAAACGTTACCTTACATCATGGAATGTCACAACCTATCTGCGAAGCGGCCTGCTGGAGCGGAACGGCCATAAGTATTCATCTGGTCGTCATTCAAATCAAATCAGACAAGCAACCAGCGGCTGCTCTGTGACACACACTGAATAAACTCACAAGAAGGGATGTTTGCTGCCTCAGAGAATCCGCTTCACTCAATGTTCCTCAATAAAACTACATTCTTGCGTGGTTCAAATATGATGAAAATGTGTATTGGAGGGGAAAAGCTGAAACCTATGCTGGCAACATTCAGGGGAAACATTTTTCAAATACAAAGATTTTGAAAACAAAGGGGAGCAGCAGTTACTGTAGTTGTGATGTCAGTTCATGAATTCATCCTACAACTATTTAAACAAAACATTAACTTATGAATCATTTTGGCATCAGTAACTTTGCATATCTTTTTGCATAAGAGCCAGAGGAAATATTTCATTTAAATATCAATTGTTATTGGAGAACTTTCCTTTTGGTTTTATGAAGCAATAATACATTAAATAATTCAGAACATTACAAATGAACTAAATTTTTTCTTTACATCTCAATCCCAAACAACATCCAGATGTTTTCCAGTAAAATCACTTCCTACATTAACATTACGGCAGCGGATCGTGCAGAATGCTGCAGAATTTCTCACCCCTCCAGCGTTTGCATGGAAATTTTTACTGTGAAATATTGCTGAGTGATGATGCAATTCTGCTAAAATTTACTTCACTAAAGTTAATCTGTGAAAGTTTTTATATTCTCATAAGGAGAGCAGACAGTTCCTAAAGAACAATGTCACAACTATGTTCCAGCAAAAAAGAAAAAAAGTTAGCACTGTGATCAGACGCCTGAATTAAACAATAAAAGTGAGCTGCAGTTTGTAAAAGTTTTCTTACCCTAAGATTTATTTGCTTTCAGCTCTTTTCAACAACAAACTTATTGATGTTCCATTAGATTTTAATTGCTAGGCCAACAAACATAATTCAGTATTAGGAGGAGGAAGGAAAATGGTCTTTGAAAATGTTTACAAATAAAAATCAAAAATTTGTGGCACGCATATATTCAGCCCCTTTAATTTCATACCTCAAAATAAAATCCAGTGCAGGTTGTTGCTTTCAGAAGTCACTTGATTAGTAAATATAGTCCAGATGTGTTCATTTTATTCTCGGTATAAAAAACGTACGACCCATTAGGCAAATCATTTTGGCCCGACCCAGACCAAATTTTGGGTCTAAATTGTAGCACAAAATCAAACTTCTAACAAGTAATTTGATAAAGCATTTGAAGACTAAACTATCTATATGGCTTTCATTATAATTTATTAAAACACTCTGAATAGAGAGACTATAGGCTTAAAAAGAAGAAGAGTCGCCCTGTCCTACATAAAGTAAATTTGTTTTAAAAAGCTAACTGTGAGAAGCATTAAGTACCAATTTATTGGTACGATCAGCATCAGTATCTGTGAGTACCTAAACAGAAATGCTCATACTCATAAGTTTTCCAGCTAAGAAAACCCAGCAGATGGCATCGAATAACGGACTTACAATACCCAATACGAGGATGCAAGCAGCGACAGTGGAGAGGAAAAACTGCTTTAGCAGAAAGAAACCTCCAGCAGAACCAGAACCTGATTCAGTACGAGCGACCATCAGCCACGAACGACTGGATGTTTGACAAGACAAAGCGGATACACAAAAAGAACCGATAGAGACTTTCAGAGTTATAAAAAGTAAATAATGGAAGAGGGGGAATGTTTAGTTGTTGGCAGCACTATCTCAGCTGATGTTCTCCTCCTGGGAGCAACCACAGGTAAACAGAACATCAGACCAGAAGAAAGAACAAAACTGAGAGAAAACATACAGAAACAGTTTAAAAATGAGCAAATGATGCAATTTAGAGAGTAGTAGAAGAAGAAAGTAGCAGAGTAAAATATATGTCCATAATTGTCTCTATAAGATCCTCGTCTCCATGACTAAAAATCAAACAAAACCCCCATAAAAAGAAAGAAAAAAATAAAACCTCCCGCCTTCGCCTCACTCTCTCCATTTTTAACAGCCCCCTTCGTTATTTTCTACATCCATCAAAGGCGGCAGTAATTATTAATGAGAACCTCCCTGTTCTCTCTGCATTATGCATGAGAGCCTTGCCTCTGAAAGCAGAGGGTAATGGGGGTGGACAGAAGAGGAGGGGCCAGAGGTCACACATGTGCACACACACATGCACACACCGCCTTGAGGGGTCACTGACCTACGCCCGGCGAGCTGAAAATATTAATTAATAGCCCCTCCC